CACCCCCTTCCCATCCCAGCACTGCTCCCAAGCTTCCCTCCAGTCACGCTGGGTCATTTTGCCAATCGATATCACTCAAGCAAAGCAGACCTTGTTCCTTGGGAGTTTCTTAGCAAAGCTGGAGGCCACCACGGGGTCCAGAAAGTCAGTGAGGAGTGGGTTACTGGGGGACAGCCATGGTTGTGCTGGGCTGGGAGCACTGGTGGGATTCCTCAAGGACCTGTCCTGATCCTCGGCACATTCATTAATGTCTTTGACTCCAAAATAATGGCTGCAAGCTCAGAAACAAGGTTCAGAGGGTTTGCTGGTGGTGGGGATGGTTCTGGGGTGAGGAGCGGGATGATGTTGGGGCTGGATAAGGACACCACCTCTTGGTTTGGATGCTTGTGGATGGGACAGGCAATGAGGAGGTTTGGGGGCTGCCATCAGATGCCTCGTGGGTATTGTCCAGGGGCATCTTGGGGGCGTGTGGTGGCAAGATGATGGCCAATGGATGGACAAGTCTGAAACAGGGCCTGGAGAGATGGGAAAGAGGGCAGACGGAGCATGATTGATGGGTCAAATATATATTGTTTGGTCCATGGCAGAGCCTGGACACTGTTACCACCTAAGAACCTGGTTTTATACCCCAAAAATACCTCCCTTTCCTTAGAGAAACCCTGTGCCCCTTGACTGTCCCCAAACTCCTCCAGCCAGTGTGACAAAACATTTCCCAGCCCTGCCAGCTCCTAAACACCACGAGGCCATTGTTCCCATGTCCCCTTTTTGCTCCCAGGCTCTGTTTGCTTTGCCAGGGGAGTTTTTCCACCCAGTCCATGGGAATAAGAGCGGTGCCAGTGATAACCATCAGCATCACCTTACACCCGCCGTGCCAGCACCCCATTTGCCTTCCAAATCTCCTGGGTCCCCTCACCAGGAGCCTTCCCAAATTGCTACTGGGGAGCTTCCAGGCTCACCCCATGAATGGCAGGTTGCGAGACAATTAATCAGTAATTAAATGGCAATTAATAGTCAGCAAGGGGAATTATGTCACTAAGGGCTGCCCATTCCTTTTCCTTTTCTCTCCTACGCAGATCGGTGCGGTCGGGTGCGCACAGTTGGGTGTGCATGGTTGGGTGTGTGTTGTTGGGTGTGCACAATCAGGTGTGCATGGTCAGGTGTGCACAAGACAGGCCTACGTCTGCAGTGGTTTGTGGTGCTGAGAAAAGGTGTGAGAGCGGTTGTGTGCGTGTGTGCGCACCATAGACCCTGCGGGTGTGATCGGTGCTGGGTGTGCGTGCAACCAACTGCACGTGTGCCTGGTGGGGTGTAGGTACGTGCCTGTTCATGATGCTGGCCACATGTGTGTCGGGGTGTGCATCTGTAGTTGTGTTTTCATGGCACTTGTGCAGGTAAGGGTGGTTCTGCGCATGCATAGGATATCCTTGGGGGTGTGCACAATGGCTGTGTGTGTGCCTGGGTGTTCACATGTGTGTTCCCATGCAGGATTGTGATGGCTGGGTGGGTTTTCCCTTTCAATCTGCTAATGAGGCAGGGTACCACTGCCATCCTCCTCCATCATCCCACAGCACCATCATCATCCTCCTTTCTCTGCTTCATCACACTTATGGGCTGGTCCTGGGAGCAAAGGCTTGGGCTGGGATCATACAATCATCAAATCACCACATGGTTTGGGTTGGAAGGGACCTTAAAGATCACCCAGTCCAACCCCCCATGGGCAGGGACACTTCCCACTAGACCAGGTTGCTTAAAGCCCCATCCTTCACTGTCCCATTGGAGGTTCTAGGGACATCATCCCTTCCAAAACAAGGTGACCACATCCACCCTGCATGCTGGGAGCATCCCCTGGTCCCTGCTCTGCACTGAACAATGCCCAGGAGCCATCAGGGCTGACACAGACCCAAGTCAGGCTGATGAGGGAATCATAGACTCATAGAAGGTTGGAAGAGACCTCTAAGATCACCAAGTCCAAAGTCAACGCAACCACGGCCACTAAACCATGTCCCCAAGTGCCACATCCAAGCGCTTCTTGAACCCCTCCAGGGATGGGGACTCCACCACTGCCCTGGGCAGCCCCTGCCAGTGCTTGACCGCTCTTGCAGTACAGAAATGTTTCCCCATATCCAATCTAAACCTTCCCAGGCACAACTTGAGGCTATTTCCTCTCATCCTATCACTTGTCACTTGGGAGAAGAATGGTCCAGATGCTTGCAAGCATTCTTGACCCCCCCCGTACCCCAGTTCATGGACAGGGATGGAGGTGCTTAACAGGGACAGGTTGGGAAGGATCAGGTTGTCACCCAGTGGTCCCTCCATGCAGGGAGGTGCTGCAGATCGACCAGTTCCTGAAGGAGACGGCTGCCCGCGAGGCTAACGCCAAGGTCCGCCTCCAGCACTTCATCGAGGAGCTGCTGGACCGGGCGGACCGGGCCGAGAAGCAGCTCCAGATCATCAGCAGCAGCTGCGGCACCACCCCAAACGGCAGCTTGGGACGCTGCGGCACGCCAGGGGCCAAGGCCATCGGTCGACTGGTACCTCCGCGGGCACAGGCACGGGCACCTCAGCGGCTTCGGGCGCGCACCCATGTGGCTTCTCTGATGGCTGCAAAGGGTTGAGCTGTAGAGACCCCCATCTCGTTCCCATGGGGAAGTGGATAATTCGGGGGATCCCAAAGAGAAGCTGCTTCTCGGTGGGTCTGTGTTTCCACAGCAAGCATGAGCAAGGTGCTGGGGCGATGCTGGAGATGCTCTTCTGCATCCTGTTTGGGGATGGCCTCACCCTAAAACGCAGCTGGTGTGGAGTGGGTTATCAGTGTCACGCCCCCATCATCCACATTTCGGATTTCACCATGTTGGCTCCTCTTGTCCCTTCTCCCTGCAGAGAGATCGGCATCCGGGGCCAGTGGCAGCCATCCACGGTCCCTACGGTGTGTCCAACCAGCGCTCCTCCTCCAGCACCGGGTGAGTCCCCTATCCGAACTGCCAATTTGGGGTTTTGATGGGATGCTCATTTCTGGGGCGATACAAGGAGCTGATGGGAAGGGGTCGCCCACCCCAGTGAGTGCTGAGGCCGAGCATCCCCTGTCCCCCAGTGCTTCGAGCAGGGCGAAAGCCGTGTCACAGAGCTCGGGCTGCTACGACAGCGACAGCGCAGAGCCGTGTCCCACCGACGACACCGCCGACGGGCATCCCTACGCGGCACGGGACGGCGCCCGGGGCTCGGGGCTGCGTCGGCAAGCCATCCAAAACTGGCACCGCCGGCCTTACCGCAACAGCACTGAGGGCGAGGAGGGCGACGTCTCCGACGTGGGGTCCCGCACCACCGAGTCAGAGGCTGAGGGCTGGGAGCCGGACGCACCCGGATCTGCTGCATCCCGACCTGGTGGCAGGTGCCGGCTGACGATCTGCTGCATCCCGACCTGGTGGCAGCTGCCGGCTGACGGGTGAGACCACGCTGGGCTCTTCTGTAGGGCGGGAGGATGGGGAGGATGGAGGGTGGGGATGGGGACGGCTCCTTGACTCTATGAGGAGCATCCCTTCCCCATCTGCTGGTGGCAACTGATGATGGGTGTCCCACAGCCAGGACCGAGGGGGCCGGGGTCAAGGCAGGTCGGCTGGAGAGGGGCAGTCCGGGCCACTCCAGCGAGGTGATCAGCCCCGAGATCCTCAAGATGCGGGCGGCTCTTTTCTGCATCTTCACCTACCTGGACACCAAGACCCTGCTGCGGGCAGCCGAGGTGTGCAAGGACTGGAAGTTCGTGGCTCGGCACCCGGCCGTGTGGACGCGGGTGCTGCTGGAGAACGCCAGGGTGTCCTCCAAGGTACCAGGGACGGGGATGGCACTGCCTAGGGTGAGGTTTTTCCTCCAAAAAAGGTGCTCAGGCTCGCTTGAGTTGAAGGTCATGGGAATGTGTGTGCACTCTGGATGCGTTGCACGTTCGCACATCCATGCTTGTGGGCACGAGTTCACATGTGCATGCATTTTCATGTGGTTTTGTGGTCGCACCCGTAGCTTGCATGACCTCCTACGTGAATTTTCACGTATTTATGGCACGCTGAAACGTGTGTCCACTGTGGGGTGTGTGCACAGACCTGCCCAAGACAGCCAAGGATGGGTGGCGTGGGGCACGCCAAGGGCATCCCCCTCGGTGACGGCCACCCCTGTCCCCCCAGTTCCTGGCCATGCTGTCTCAGTGGTGCACCCAGATGCACTCCCTCACCCTCCAAAACCTCAAGCCACGCCAGCGGGGGAAGAAGGAGAGCAAGGAGGACTACATGAAGAGCACGAGGTGAGTCCCCATGTCCTGGGCACCCTCCTCCCACAGCCAGAGCCGCTGGTCCTCAATGGAGGATGCTCCACAAGCACCAACATCCCTCTTCCACTGATGGACATTCATCGCACCCTGGTTCCTGCTGTGGGTTTTGGGTGTCCTGGTCCCCATGGATGTCCCTGGGGTGGCCGTGAAGAGTGTGGTAGCGGGTGCCCGTGCCTGACCCTGTCTCCATCCCTGGCAGGGGCTGCCTGGAGGCTGGGCTGGAGTCGCTGCTGAAGGCGACGGGCAGCAACCTGCTCATCCTCCGCATCTCGCACTGCCCCAACGTGCTGACCGACCGCTCGCTCTGGCTGGCCAGCTGCTACTGCCGGGCCCTGCAGGCTGTCACGTACCGGTAAGGATGGCCACCAGCATCCCCTGCCTTGCCCATGAGGACCGTGTGGTTCTCTGGCTGGGAGAAAGCTGGGAACATCCATAGGATGTGCTGGGACTCCTCTGATGCCCATCCCCATTCCCTGTCAGAAGGCAGCTCATCTGGCCAGGCGTGAAGGACACCTCTTACCATGTCCCCAGCCCAGCAGCAGCCCCAGTGTCCCCAGCACAAGCTGTCCTTGCAACACTCATCCTCTTCTGGCGTGTTCCCATGCAGATGTTTCCCTTCCAGCTCCATTCCCACCGTCCTGTTACCGATCTCACCCCAGCTGGAGGCATCACCGGGGTCTTGGTATGGGGAAGCTGCTTTGTGTTAGAGAAGGGTGATGAAGAGGTGAATCAACACCAGGGTCCAGTGAGGTCCCATCTAACTGGAAGAGACCTTGGGGTTCCTCTGTCCTGGGAGGGAGAAACAGCTCAGCTATGGGAATGCTGAGACCACACTTAGACACCTTGCCCAAGAGCAAGCACACGAGGCCCATGATGGTGTAGGTGCTGGAAGAGATCACAGGTCCTGAAGGAGATCACTGACTGCTCCTTGATCCCAGTCACCTCCCAAAGGGCTCTGCCTCCTGTGATGATAAGATTTACCTTTCCTACACAAAGAGGATGATGTTTGTCTGCAACAGCTTCAGCCTTGGTGTCCGTGCCACCTACAGCCGATGGGTGTCCTCATCCAGCCCACGATGGAGTCCTTCAGGGGGGATAACACACCCAGCCAGCTCCTCCACATTGGACCAAGCGAGCTCGGACGCAGCTCTGATGTGGGGATCCCACACCATGGGGCAGCCCTGCACTGCCAGTTTTAACCCAAAGACTCCTCCACTGGCCCTGCCAACGGAGCAAGCCCAAGCGCTCCTGGCACGTTGCGAACCTGTGACTCTGACTCATGCTCTGATCAACCCGCTGCGCTCGCAGGGGGCTCTTGGCAGGCTTCTTCCATGTGAAGTGCTGAAGATAACACCCATCGCTTATTTTTAGGCTTGCCTGAAGTGTTGAAGTAGGTCACTTAGAGTTAGGAAGTGTGGCTTCAGTCGGTGGGAGGCAGCCTGGTGCGGTGAAATGGCCAGGGGCCTCTGGGCTGGTGGCATCAGGATGGCACCCTCTGACATCTCTTCTCCATCATCTTGATGCTGGAAGCTGACAACATCAGTGGAAGCTCCTTTAAGCCAGTGGCATGAATGCTGTGTGGGCCATTGGCTCTTGATAAACCTATGCCTCCATCACGTCCTTGCACGAATCCAGCAGCATCCCATGAGGTGTGTATTGATACCTCCACAAACACCAAGCAGGAGCCCTCAGCAAGTCTCTGCAGCAACATTTGGCCAACAAAGGCCATGGAGCAGTCACTGCCCTGGGCTGGAAATCACCGTCCATCAGCTGAAACATCCTTACTACCTCCTGGCACCTTCCCCATCCAGGCTGGGCTGGTGGCAAGTGAGAGCAACCCAATGGGATCTGCAGGGATGTCGCAGTTGCTCTACAAGGGTGCACGGCCTGGCTGTCTCAGTTCAATCACTTGCCACCTTTGCATCTGGAAGGCTTCTGCCTTCACCTTCAACCTCACCTCCAACCA